ATGCAACATGGTTGGCTAACGTCAAGTGGCATACTTTAATCAGCATATGCTGTCAAATTCTCTCAGAAATTATTTTTTGAACTAAGCTTCTTCATTTTTATCTTTGTGGTTACTATCATCGATTACCTCGTAGTTGCTCGCTCGAGTTTCCCAATTAACGAACTCACTTGTAGGAAAACGATAGGAAGAGAGAGAGAGAGAGAGATAACAGAATTTAGGGGTATCAGAAAACTGCACCACTGCGATAAATTCTGTCTTTCTCTTAGCGATTTCTTCCTTCCCACCATTTATGTTGATTTTAATCTTCACACCAACTTGCTGTCTGTGCCAGACTATCGCGCTCGTAGAGCTAGTCAACGTGGATGGTGTTGCACTAATGGCTATGCATTGGAGCACAAAATAGAACAGCGGCGTCCTCCCTCCGTATAGGTAAAAAGTACGATACCGAGCTGAAACGATAGGTTCCACACCATCGAAACAGAAAATGCCCCAGGAAGCATGGAAAAAACACTGAAGCCGGATAAACCGTCTTGAAGGGTGCTCGGCTCTTTCCACCCACTACTCGACTGCTTGTAATTTAAAAACAAATGACTTTCTTTATTAGGTTGGTCTTCGCTTGTGGAGCCGAATATTCAATTTAGCTTTTATCCTATTACGACCTGCCATTTGCATGCTCACGCTACAATGCTTTATGCGTTCCTGCTCAATTGCAAATATTCATTTCCAGCAATTCTTCAATCCTCTTTGGAAGGCGTCCTCTTTATACTTTTATTCTTTCCATGCTCATATAAAAAGTCAATAAAACAAAAAAAGTGTCAGAAACAAAGGTTCCTGTAAAGTTTTTTTCCCGTCAAGATAATAATGGCACCTCTTATTTTTTTTTGAAAAAGTAAACAACAGCCAAACGCGTCATTGTTGCGCAGTGAATTTCACGCATGCAACCCCACAGGTCGGACATGTGTAACGGTTTCCTTACAGCTAAAGATTACCAGCCAAAATAATTATCATCTGTCAGCAAAACATTCTGGTGAAACAACACAAGCGTGTCATCTTTCTTGCGCATCAGCCGGGCTTTCCTGCTTCACCATTTCCCCGCCCCCCACACTATTTATCTATCTATTTGCAAGAACATGCTTTGCAAGATTTTGAGGTGTTGGCATAGCCACCACTTTTCATAACCAAAAAGAATCACGTCACAATAATGTTAGTATGGTAACCCGCACATGATTTGCTGGGTTAACTTTCGCCTTGTTTTTTTTAGCAAAAGTTGTGTGTAAAAGAGTTTGCCAAAATCTGTGGCACGTACGTGTTGATGATGATGATAGTTTTTCGATGGGAAGCACAGGTATCTGGGATACATGCCAGTTGGTTGGGCGAAGTAATTGATTGATATGTGGGGTTTAACGTCCCAAAACCACCATATGATTATGAGAGATGCCGTAGTGGAGGGCTTCAAAAATTTCGACCACCTGGGGTTCTTTAACGTGCACCCAAATCTGAGCACACGGGCCTACAACATTTCCGCCTTCATCGGAAACGCAGCCGCGGCAGCTGGGATACGAGCCCGTGACCTGTGGGTCAGCAGCCGAGTACCTTAGCCACTAGACCACCGCGGCGGGGCTAGTTGTGCTGTGTAATGCCTTCATTTTTTTAACCAGTGGGTGTGTAGGGGGTTCAACCTGTTTCTGTGGTGCATGCTCCTTTATTGTGCCCACTGCGTTACAAACATTCCTGGACATGAAAGCCTCGAATAAGAACAGTTTCTCCCCCAAAAAGAAATACGTGAGAGGTCTCACCAACGCCAACGCTTCTGCTAACGTTCGAGTTTAAATAGAAATTTCATTTGAGTTCTTCGTTTATTACGCTCGCTAAAAGGTACATCGAAAGTTACTCATAGTTTAACCGTTATGTTCTCATCACATTTCAGTTCAACGGTGAAAAAAGTGGTTAGTAATGTGTTTTACAAGGAATCCAACCCAAGAGCACTCTCATAACAGATAATGTAGATAATAATAGAAAATGGCCGACATTCATAGCTTATGCATGTTTTACCACGAGACCGAACGAAAGAATGCTTGAATGAAGCAAGGTCTTCAATAACGAAATGAACTGCCACATTACCCATTTGTGTGGTGACTCAACATTTAGACGTATAAGCAAGTTCACGATTTATCATAACTACGACATAAAACTCAATCATATACAGCGTTACGATCCTATTACGCTACAAGCTTAAGTATCCGTTTAAATTTTCTACCGCATAGCACTGTTTCCCCTGATTTCGAAGAATGGTCTACAGGATGTGTTGATCAATCAGTTACTCTGAGGATTCACGGACAGGTATTGTTATAATATATAGGTTCATTTGTAGATTAACATGCTCCGTGGTATGGTATCGACTCGAAAGGCCTAAGTGCAGCTGATCCTTCAACGACCAACCAATTGATTATGAAATTTAAGTCACGACCGCACGAAGACTTAGATACGATTATTCGAGTACGGTCCAGTTTTTGGCCCATGTGAATCACAGAGGGAAGAATAGCAAGAAGAGTGTACAAAAAAAAACCTTCGTGAGGCAATAAACCTCGGCTGGAGATAATAAAAACGGAGCGACAGCTAGTGAATTAATAGCTTCCTCCTAAGAACATCAGGGACTGAGCGCATTTCGCCAGCTTTGATGAAGCCGGGCAGTTCGGGTAAACGAGCGCGTCAAGACCATTCTGGCAAATATACGCAACGCCACCGCGTCTCACACGACGAAAAAACCAACAGAGCGTCCCACGGCGCAGGCGCACCCAATTGTGTGCTCGGCCTATTCTTTGGCCACAGATTCAGCTGTACTCCAGACGTCGCCACTGCCATCAATTGCGTGACACCCGAACAACAGCACCCTGGGGATACGAGATAAAAAGAACGCCTCCCACTAAAACCGCTGTTTTTCTCTCGGGCCGAAACTTGCGCTCCCTCGGTGACTCTTTTTTCTTCCCAGGGAACAAAGAAGTGGCGTTGTAAGGCTGCAGTTTGGGTTCGATCGCTAACCATTGTCCTAGGATGCGTGTATACTTAGCGATAAATTCATTAGGAGCAACTTCTGTTGCACTGCTGCGATATAGAGTACATAAAAGGAAAAATAGCCTACCTTATATTTCCAGCCAGCTATTAAAGACATCGGGTCCTAAAGTCAGAGTGCAAAGTTTTTCTTTGTATGTACTCTGTGTCACAGCAGTGCCACATCAGTTGCTCCTAATAAATTTATCGATAAGCATACACGCGTCCTACGACTATGGTTAGAGATGGCAAGAGATTCCAACCTTGGTGCTGACAGCCCATTGGTACGTCTGGCGAAAAGAGCAAGTATACATAGGCCATATAGTGGCGATATTGAGACAACATGGCATTTGCTTGTCTGGATCAAAAGTAATGTAATTAGAGTTTGAGTATTTTGGGAGATACATTTAAGCTTTCAAGAAAAGAAAACTCAGCTCGTTCAGAGATACACCGATTGATATGTGCGGTTTAACGTCCCAAAACCACCATACGATTATGAGAGCCGCCGTAGTGGAGGGTTCCGGAAATTTCAACCACCTGGAGGTCTTTAAAGAGGTACACTGAGGCAAGCATTGCCAAAGGGTTTTGATTTCCAAAGGGTTTCCAAAGGATTCCGGTGCCAAAGGGTTCCAAAGGGTTTCGAATAATTGACATTAGATCGTATGACAACGTAGCCTATTTCGACATCAACGATTATGAATTTCGAACCGAATTAGGAAGTATCGAACAGAGCTCTATTCATGGAGAAGAAAAAACTCAACGACAACACATTTGTTACGGAAACTAGAAATTTCTTTCGCGGGTATTGCTAAACCATGAAGTTCTGTTCCTGGGCTATAGTAAAAGACTCGAAAGCAATAAACCATCTTATTCATGCATCCGTGTAACATGGAATGAAACCGAGTCGGCTAATAAATACCGCTGCCAAACGCTTGCTGCCTCCTAAAGTACATGCTGTGCTCGTCTGTCTGACTTTCTCTAAAGTCGACAAAGCCAGTAGTAAGGGGTCAAAAGTAAGCTGGTTCTGATTGAGATAAACTGATATGAAGTCGCACTGTCAGAGTTTGCTTGGAACTGACGCAGTCTTTACACAAGGTCAAAAGAAGTTGCGGATAGTTTCTCAGCATTTTACGGTGAATACAGAAAGAATGAGCGTTCACTATGTACCGGCAAATTAACATGCAGATGGTGCAAACAACATGTGTATACACAAGGAAAGGTGACGTCGTTGTGGTTCAGCGTAGTATCAGTGGTTTGGATTAGTGACGACTTGAGATAAAGTCGCAAGGTTAGATTTCTGTCAGCAGCCAGCACATGTGCACTAGCCCAATCAATATGGTGTCCCTCAGACAAGAAATACTCGGCGAGGACATCAGAAGACACTTCTTCTTTTCTAAAGTCGGAACAGTGTTTCTTTAGGTGCCTTTGAATATCGCCTGCCTTGTCGGTGTATAGATGGCCAACCTGCACAGGAAATATAATACATGGCA